ATTTTTATGTTTTCCTGCTTGATTTGGGTTCAATATTGATATTTGTCTGGTGATAAAAATCTTTTCGAGATGTCGTTAAATGTTCGACGAAATGAAATTTGCATAAAAATCACGTTTGCTGACAGCAACGCATTTAAAAATTGTAGCCGCTGCTGATGCGTGTAAAAAAAAGACTACCGTAGTAAACTTGATTGAATATACATAAAGAAGACGAAATGGCATCACAACAGTAAACGGCGAAACGTACAAAAGTTTGCATAGAATCAAAAAAAGAAGAAGAGAAACGTCATCCTCAAAAAAAGTCTCAAAAAAACCACAAAGTAAACCCATCAACATTCGACAGCACACACCAAATTAATTTATTGGAATTTATATTTATTTCGGAATTGATCACCATCGCATTCACTACCATCAATCGGGTTTATATATGCTTGCGCGCGTGAGCGCCTTCGCAACACAATCATCATCAGCAGAGACTGAGTGAAAAGAAGACGAGTAGATAGATTTGTACTTAAAAGAGAAGCAAAAAAAGACGTTGCAAACGCGCACACGTTCCATAAGGAATGCCAATTTTTTGAATTCGAACGAAAGAGGCAAAAAGTCTGTTCATTTGTTGCCGACACGAAAGCGGGCATAAGATACAAACAAATTTATTGTGTTGCGTCGAAAACCCATATAACGCATCACTTTGACCGTATTTTATTCGTACTTTTGTTAGTTTTTTTTTTTTTTGTTTTGTTTCACTTCTTCGGTTCTTCTTTTTGGTTTTTCATGAATATTGTTGTTTCCATTTTACATTCGTTCATCCTGCGCGCACAGTCTTTATTTTCACTCACTCATTCACACACTGGGACAGATAGATACATCGACACATTGCATAAAATGAAATGCGCTTGCGCTGCGAAACACAAAATTCGCATTAAGCAAAAAGCATTTGTTAATGTATTTTTAATAATTTTATACTTTTCATACAAAAATTTATTTGACTCGGTGAAGCAACGATTCGGCTATCTTCTTCTTCTCCATCTGTTTTCGCCTTGGTTTCACGCTTTGCTTTCTTCGGACAGTACAACGAGGATGAATGTACGTTGTGGCATGTTGTGTTACTTACATATTTCAACTCAATTTATAAATATTATTTACTTTTTGCTAGTCAACACATTGTTTTGACTGTTTTTGGGTGATTATCGGAAATATGCACAAAAACAAATACGATGAATCTTTTTTTTGTTCTTGTCGTCTTTTAAACTTTCTATCTCTCTGTGCGAATCGATCTTATTCGTTCACATTTAACAAACAGATTAATAACACCGTATTTATCAATTAACCGCGATCAATAATCGAATAAAAAAAAATATCTTTCAATGTAATATTTATATCTAAAATCCATTATTAACTTCTAATGGATTCTACAGCTAGGCATTAAATCAAGTTGGTTAATTGAAATATCATTTTTATAAATATATAATATATGTATTATATTTTGCAAAGAAGTGTTAGTGATTTCGTTAGCATACGGACTAGTGGGGTCGTGGACGATGTTTGGCACAATGAATTCATCACACATTTGAATATATAAAAAAAATGAACTGAGCGCGGCTTCTTTAATCGCTTACTCAATCATCAATTCAGAACCTGCGCTATAAGCCATTTTTTTCTTGCCGTAATTAATGACCAATAAATCATTTTAAATTCATACGATTGTTTGGTGTGGTGTTCATTCTTTTTCGTTTTTTTAATGTGGCAAATGAAAGGAAGACGGAACGAAGGCATGTCAAACATAAAACCACAAAACTTACTCACATCGACGACGCACCGTAAACGAAGCCACGATGACCAGAAGACGACAAAACCAACGAAACGATAAGTGATTTAAGCGAGAGAGAGAGAGAGAGGAAGAAAAGAGTTGCTCTTAGCAAACGTCGGCACTTATAAGCTTGTGGCAGCGTCAATTGAATTAAAATGAAAAATTAACCAATCGTCGAAATACCGCGTACAACTCAAGGAAATAGACGCTGGAGCTCCGACCATTTATTTAGTTTTTTTTTTTTGATTCATTTGAAGCAGGTACGAGTGATTGCCGCACGCGATTCTTTGTTTACGTACATTTTCACGGCAAAGTAATTTTTCTCTGGCTTTTCATTAATTCCGTGATATATATTACAGCATGAATTATTGTGTATCGTATTTTTCCACCATCAATCACACCGTCTTTTGATTGATTTCGATAAACTAGGCCAGTGAATTTTAAATTTGTACAAAACATACTCATTTTATATATCAAATGATAGATCACGATTTATTTGCACAAAAATTCAACAACAACAATTAAAAAAAAAATTAATGAGCATCATTTATATGCAGAACAAATAGATTGTAGAAAAAAAACTTATCTATTTTTTTGGAATTTAAATATGAAGTAAATGATCGCATCAAATAATAATCTCATTTAATGTTAAATATCATTCATTTGACAAAATGTTTGACTCACTCAGATCAGGCGGTAGTGAAAAAAATGAATGCCGTCGGCCGGCGATAAAGTGTATGTGTATGTGAAAACGTATATGTAGCGTTATCGCAACACTCGATGATTGTACGTGACGAGAGAGTGAGAGAGAGCGATCGCAAAAAAGCGAAGAAAGTTAATTGAAATTAAAACCAGATTTCGGAACCGACTGAGTAAATTTAGAACTGATTACACATGTCTTTTCTATCCCTGAGTGATATCATGCGAAATAAAAAAAGCACATGAACTTCAGTTTTAACTTGAGCACATTTCGTTACAGTATTTTTTCTTGTCCTTTTAAAATGTAAAGCAGCAAAAAAAGAGAACACAAAATATAAATAAGACAACAATAACAGCAAAAAAGTCCCGCGCTGATTAAAATGGTGCGCATGTGAGAAACATTGCGTTTTCCATATGACACCAGCTGCAGTACAAATTAATTGCCTTTTCGCAAAATGAATGACAATAAGCACGTAATGGAATTGTTGGTTTTTATCAAATAAAAAAAGGTATTATTATGATTTTAACGTCGTGTATTTGCATTCATTTTCTGTAATGACGTTAATTTGCGCATTGGCTGCTCGATAAAAAAAAGTCGAAGAAAAACAATATGAAATCAACGTTGCGTAAACGAGGTAATCAGCCATTGAGACACATTTTGTTTGTAATAAACACATATTATACGGAAAATAACTACAATGTGAATCTTCATTATATGCCATCCGTTAATTTACGTTTGATAATTATTGTTCTTTCACGATTTTTTGTTTGTTTTTTTTTCTACCACCAATTTGTTATCACAATCACAATTGTCATTAAAAACGAAATGGCCATTTCCATATTCCATTGAGCTCACTTATGGTATTTTGTTATAATTTTCGTTTGTTTGTAAGAAGCCAATTGAATTGAAAAAAAAAAAAAACAAAAGCAGTCGAGCTTAACAAGAACAGCGTCGAAATTCAAGCGTTTGGCTAGCATACGGGCATTTTGTATGCATATTTGAAAATAAAATAGATAAAAATGTAGACAAAAACCAAGAAATGACATGAAAACATGAACAACAATTACAATCCATGCCTATTCGTAGATTGATACGGTAACAAATTATAAATAATAATGCACAAAATATTTGCCGTGTCAGCGAATAGAACATAATTGCCAGTGGCAATAATTCACATTGAATTTTTCAAATGTTGGTTCCAATTCACGAAGTTTGATGTAAAAAAAAAATTGATGGTGGTATGGGGGCGGCTATTTGTTCAAGCAAAATTATGAACGAAAGGCACGTGCTATTTTCGTTTCGACCCCGTTTAATTGACACATGTTTAACCGCAAAAAAAAACGTTCGTGCGTTTGGTGAGAATTTTGCGCACCAATGGAAACAATAGTCCTTCAAGTTACCTATAAACAATTTCACCATAGAACACACTAATCGTCACAGTTCAATGCGATCGATCTTTCTTCGAAGCATAAGGAATACGCTTTGCATTTTACACAGAGGAAAGAATTTTTGTTATCGAAAAAGCGGGCGGAAGTATTCTTTGTCATGTTTTATTTATACGATTGATAATAAAGTAATTTCCAATTACATCAAGGTTTTCATGAATAATTCCATTTGTTTTGACAAAAACGAAAAAAGAGACAAACACTAGTCACATTTTGGATTTGTATGTTTTTTGTGCTTGGAAATGGTGTATTATGTATATCATTAGCGCCCGCAACTGATAATAACCAAGCCTTGCTATTGGTCATACAGACGTTTCTTTTCTTCTTTACAACTGATAACAAAACACACTTCGAAATAGCGATAATTTTGATTGTTATGCTTGTACTTTTGTGGGTTTTCTATTTTTTTTTTTTTTTAAATCAACAAGAACTTTATCACTCAACAGTAGTTAAAAACGAATATTTCAGCAATCACATTGTTTTTTTTTTGTTGTCGTAGCAAATGCGATTTTTTTCGAATTCTTATCACTTCATTCCAAGAGATATTCATTTTTTTCATGTTAGAGTGAGACTGAAAGTCCATCTTGTGTGTATTTTTTTTCGCATTCTCAACATCCTTTTTTCGGAACGCGTTCGATAACGCTTATCGTAGAACAAACCGTCGAATCGGACATATGAATCTGCAAGAAAAGACACAACGCTCTAGTGCTTATTATTACGTCGGAATAGAATCAACCACAATTTCGATATTTGTCTGCTCCATTTCAATGAAACCAAGTTTCTGAATAAAAAAAAAACAAGAACAAATCATATAAAAAAACATACACACACATAACAAATGAGATGTGAGTTATTTACGAGAAATTTGACTTGTTTTTTTTTTCGTGAAATAGAAAAATTACGCTTCGAAGTGAAATACAAATCTCTTTTTAAAATAATTAATAAATATCCGATTGCTGTGTGAAGAAAATCCATCTATTTTTATAAATTTATTTATAAAACTAATTTTTCTAATTTTCAACTCTTTTTTCTTTGTTTCGTTTTACAGATGAAACCGGAAAGTGCCTCTATTTGTTGAGTTTAACAGAGAAATATATAAATATCAGTTTAAAAAATCTGCTGTGAATAGAAAAAGAAACTGAATCATAGAAAAATCGTGAGACTGAAAATTTTGTGTTTAAAAAAAACAAGATAAAAGGAAAGAAACATTCGTTTTTCTGTTTGAATTTCGAAAATTTTGTGCGATTGAATTGTTCCCAATATTTGTGTAAAATGTTTCATTCGCCAACCACATACTCCGATATGACAGCGAGCGTTGGAAATGTATCTGGTTATCATCACCATCATCATCAAGCAGCAAATTCAAATTCACCAGTGTATGTTCCATCAAATCGGCCATTGCAGCATAGCCAATATGCGAGCCACGGTACAACATTTGGTCATGCAGCTGCCGCTGCGGCCGCCACTCCAAACGGATGGCAAACAGAGAATTTCTCAACACACAACCCACTCGCTCCACAATTTTACGCACAAAATTCTTTAATGATGTCCGGATGGAGACCATACGATCCGCGAATGATGCAAAGCACATCACCGTACGACAGTGCAATGGATTTTACATTTGGCGAAGGACGTGAATGCGTTAATTGTGGTGCAATTTCAACACCATTGTGGCGTCGAGACGGTACCGGACATTATTTATGCAATGCCTGCGGTCTCTATCATAAAATGAACGGCATGAATCGTCCCCTCATCAAACCTAGCAAACGTCTCGTAAGCGTAAGTTTGTCTTTGTTTTTCTTAAATTCTTATTCGAATTGTATGTGCATACACTGACGACATCTGTTCGAGCACCTTGAAAATAAAATCAGTGATGACACAAACCATCACATCCATATTTGTCCAAGCTAAACGCTTTTCTTTCCACTTTTGTATATTTAGACAGCAACCCGGCGGCTTGGGCTTTGTTGTACGAATTGTGGTACGCGTACAACAACACTATGGCGACGCAACAACGAAGGTGAACCCGTGTGTAATGCATGCGGCTTATACTTTAAATTGCATGGTATAAATAGGCCGCTTGCCATGCGAAAGGATGGAATTCAAACGCGTAAACGTAAACCGAAGAAAAATGGGAGTGGCAATTCTGCCGTTGAACTCGGTCTCAGTAAAAAAGACGACAAAGAAGGTAACAATTCATTCGATATCTTCTACACATAACACACACAACTTTAAATTATTATTTTTTCTTTTCATTTGCTTTTCTTACAAACTTGCCTGACTTGTTTTTCAACTCAGATTCTTCATTGTGTTTTTCATTGTTGGTAAAAAATTGTTGATTTTCATATGTGTGTGTCTTTTTTTTCGTGTTGTTTCAGATATTAAATCGAGCCTAACTCAGAACGAACCAATGCATCAATTGCATTCAGAGCGGAATCTTCATTCGAAAGGCGTCCTACAACATTCACCAACACACCATTTATCATCGAGTACACCAACATCACGTTCGCTAAGTTCATCGTCGACTTCATCGGCATCGATCGTTCATCATCATCCATACAGCATGCATTCAACATCGACCACAAATTCACCGAGCACACACACAAATGCACCGTCAAATCATTCGTTGATTGGACAAACAGTGATCCCATCAAAATATGACTTTGCACACAATACATCATCATCGTCATTGCACAACTCTCAAACATCCACCGCTAATTTGAGCAGCAATTTAACCAACAGCAATTACATACATTCATCGAACAATTTACAATCACCACTCTCGTATAGCAATGTTAAATCGGAGTCAAATACTGGCTCGAACTTTGATTACATGAATAGTTGCTTGCAAAATGGATACTTCAATAGTTCATACGGTACGATCACAAGTTCAGCATCGGCAACACATCCTGTATCAGATCTATCAAGTTACCATCACATTCAAGCAGCAAAATTGATGGCCACTTCTTAAGATATTTGTGGTTCTTTTCTTTGATTTGTTTCATTTGAAAAATGATTCCGTTGTTGGGATTTTTTTTATGTTTTTGAACGCCGATACAATCGAATCGGTTTATAAGATGCAATGATCATATAACTATAAATAGTTTAGACATTAAGCCTATATATATAAATTAATGAGGAGCGCAATTAGACTTTTTTAGCTTAAGATTTGATGTTATTTCTCCTGTTTTATAATTGCAATTTGTTTCCGTTTAAAGAAAAGATCTAATTAACATGGAAAATTGTTCGAAACAAAATATTTACAGACGGTTTTGAGCTGATTGTGTATACACTTGAATGGAATGCATTTTGCTAATTATTATGCACTTGACTGTTTTGACTAAAGATATGCAGAGTCAAACAACAGAGGAGAATGAAAAATACGTAAATTTGATGATATTTATAACTATTAAACATGACGTAAAGAGAAATGATCATCAGTTAATCAATATTAACGCATAGTTTTAAGTTATTTTTATAAGTTTGAAGTCATAATGATGAATAGGTTAACGATTCGATCTGGATGCGATATAATGACTTCATTTATCATACACAAAATGTGCAAAATGGAAGCAAAGTCCATTCTTGTCCATTGAACTTATCAGAAACGCCATAGTTGAATTCCAAATAAAAATGTGCACAAAGGCGCTTTGTTTTGCTGGTGACAAAGGCGATGTAGAATATATTTCTTTAGACCATAAGTGTTGTTCGTAAGCAAGAAATAAACATAATTATGGTAAACTCTTTAATATCATGCATTAATATATCGCACACACTAATTTAATGACAAATATTTTATTTAATTGGCTATTTTCATTCACATTCATTCTTATAAAGTGTAAAGAATATAAAAAAAAAACTGAAAAATTGAAATAAAAATACCGAATTAGACATATTTAAAAAAAAACACTATCTCGATTAAATCATTTTAAAATCCAAAAATTGTTTAAGACCACATTTATTTTAAATGAATTGAATAATTAAAAAAACATTGCCAATTTGCGTGCTACTTAAACAAACAAAAAATTACTACACAATTTTGATTCTTTCGTTTTTCATTATACTTTTTGGTGCTGAATTTCACTTGAACTCAATCCATTTTGTTCGATCTATCTTCTAAATTATTTACATTTTATGTATTTTATTTGTTGACATGGGTTCTTTTTTTACACTTAATAAAATCATTGCTCTTCTGTTCATCTTGTACTATATGGAATTTGGAATGTTGTTTTTTCAAGCTCATTTTAAACCAATGAGGGAAGCGATGACCGTTGTGGACTTGTTGTTGAACGTGGATAATAGAATGGCATTGGATGCGGTTGTGATTGTGGAATGGATGGCATGAAACCGGAATTTGGATTTCCTTCGTGATATAAAACAGGTACACGAACGAAACGTTGTGCTGCATGTGCCATATTCGCCATATTTGCTGCTTCCAAATCGGCTGCAATGATCTTTTTCCATTTGTTTCGTCGATTTTGGAACCAAATTTTCACTTGTGTTTCGGTTAGTCGCAATGAAGCTGCCAATCCTGCACGCTCTGATGAACTTAAATATCTGAAAAGGTAAAGAGTTATTGGTGTTAGACTGATTCCTTTGATTCTAATGTAAAACCACAATAAAAAAAATGGTAAAAATAGCTTACTTTTTCATATCAAACGTTGATTCGAGTTGAAAAACTTGTGCACGTGAGAAAACGGTTCTTGTCTTTTTATTTCGTTTGCAATGCATCATTTGATTGTTGCCATCGGTGGATCGTTCCATTGTTTCATCATCGTCGTCATCGTCAATTGATTCGTTGACTTCGTCGTCTGATTCGTGCGACGAATTTAATTGTTGATTTGTTGATGAGGTAGTGGTGGTTGTTCGCGGTGAACTATTTATGGACGATGAATGCTTATCAGGCGTTCTAAGCTCTAAAGAAATTTAATTTATCAAAAAGAAAATCAATTAATTCAAATGGTTGCATTTTACGATTTAATTTAACTTAATCAAATAAAAATCCACTAAAATCATTGTAAATGAAGTCATTTTGAATATCGTATGGTTTTAGTGTGTGCAATGCGGTTTTGAATGAGAATTTTCATGGTTCAATGAATACATTTATCGAATTGAATTGAATTCGTTTAAACGATGTCGGTAGTTTTTATGGGTCACGGTGATGGATGACGCTTTATTTCGAACTCGAAATCATGTCACAATTATTTTGGAAAGAGAAAGAGTGACAGAAAGTGTGAAAAACATAGAGACAGGGAAAGGTAAAGGTTGAGCGTTTTAATGAGCGTTTGCGTGACACCACTGAGTTACTGTGTAACATTTCACGTTTGAAATCACCGAGAAAGATAGAGCCAGAGAGAGAGAAAGAGAGTAAATTTAAAACCAGAAAAATGTCACCCATTTAATGCCAACAAAAGGAACATTCAATCTATCGAAAGGTTTTCGGTCACAGCAATTTCCGTCCATTTCTACCGACGGAATTTAATTTAATTGAAATGATAGTTTCGTGAAACTGAAATTGGCTGAATTTCCATTAAATTCATTTGCAGTCAAACCGAATGAAACGAATACACACAAACCGCGTGTCACTAAAGAATTAATTTCGATTTTTATTTTTCTGTTTCGGTTTCTATTCTCTTCGTTCTTTTTCATTGTGAAAAATGATGGAATTTATAGCACTAATCTTTGCTTGTGGAATGTTCGGCCAATTTGCTCAACATAAAAATGAATTTATTTAATTGAACGAAAGCGAAAAACAGCGATGAATAAAAGCGTACACGAAACGCGCCCACATAAAAACAAAAAAAAAGCGATTTTCTTCTCGGTGTTCATTTTTTCGTGTGTGGTTTCATTCTTGTAGTTGCTTCATTTCGTAATATCCCATGGAAAATAGGAACAGTCAGCGCCAGCAAATGGTTTTTGTATGGTTAAACATATGCACACAAATCGACCATTAGCGAAAATTAATTATGCCGAGTATTAAACATGCTGACCCAATCTATAGGGAAGTGGTGTGTGTGCGGCAAAGGAGAAACTCGATGAGAAAAAGTATAATCAATTTCATTGGTCTACATTTTAATTTTTATGAAGTAATCTACATAATAAACGCTATCGCTTACCGTTTGGACTGTGGAATGGCATTCGTGGATATTGTTGTTGGTGTTGGTGCTGTTGATTTGACCAAGACGACCATTGTGATGGATACAAAGCGGCTAACGCTCCCCATTGTGATATGAAACCCAAACTGAAATATGAAAAGTTTTATGAAAATCTCGAGATAATAATTATAATTGGCATCACATTTATTGTGGTTTTCATTCAAAAACTTATCAAAACCATCTAAACTGCTAATCGATTCAATCTGCTGTGAATAATACTTTTGAACAAATTTTTCGAATGTCATACACATCGGTATCAATTCTCAGCACTAATTAAAACATACTCGATTGGCAAGCGATTTAATTCAGTTCATCAAACATAAATTAATCGATGTGAAGAGGGACGTTTTTCAAATGGCAACTTCATTACATTCAATAATAATAACAAAAACTTTTGCTGCTGCTGGTTTACAATACATGAGGGAGAGAGCATTCGAGGATGATTCGGTATCAGATGCCTCATCGTGTCAATCATATCATGCCATTTCACTCATTGTTGAGTTCATTTTATCGATTATGATGTTTGAAAATCAACACAAATCCAAACTGCTGATGCCAATTTTACGTGATTTTCTATTTGCAACAAGCTGGGTGCACTTCATAAAATCAAACGGAGTACAATAATGCCAGTGGAAGTGTTTTGGCGAGATAATACGATTCCGAATCGGCTACAGTTATATTCAGCTTACTCACAAGTAAATTAGAAAAAATGTTTTTTGAGATTTCGCATTTTAAATAGAGTATTTTGAATGAAGCTAATGCTAGAGCCAATGGTTCTCCTGAGGATTACATGAAAAATCACCTATCTAAAATAAATGCCTATTATTGTAAATAGAGTGGCAAATGGAGAAGATGAAAAAAGTGCGCGAAATGCATAGACTGCATCAAAACAGTTACATACCGCAAAACATATCCACAAATTGTCGAATGAGTAGCTCATAAAATTATTTTATTTTCGTTCGCATTTGGAGGGATTTGGCCTGTGTGTGTGTGTATTCCTGTGTGCATTTATATGTAATAACACGAATTACGCACAAATGTTACCTCAAATTTGAAAGCAGCCACTCTCCCTTTAACAAAGAGGGTAAATATTTTTATGAAAATTGGGCGAAACTGACAAACCTGAATCGCTCATCCGTAAGGACGTATATATCAATGAAACTAGCATCGAAAAAAACAGCAACCATCAACTTTAATGGACTGGTAAAGTGAAAAAGAAGAGAACGATAGATATTTGCGCGCAGCTTCATCAAACGCGAAATACAAGCAAATCACTTTGGTTTTGGATGAATAAATGGCGCTGTGTTTTTATTGTCGTAAATTTTCTATTATTTTACACAATAAACGCATTAAAATTAGTGTAAGATAGCTCTATTAAGATTACCTAAGAGCGCTTCTACTCAATCATTTTTTTTATCAACTATTTTACTGCTCTCTCTTGCCTCGTTCTCTTGATCTTTGAGGCTTTGCATTTTTTTTCTGCCGTAGACAAAACGTCCCGTATGTTACAATAAAAGTGCTCTCTTTTGTGAAAAATCTGGGTGAATGTGTAATATGAGCATTATGTTTTATATTATTGTTGGTTATTATTTTTTTGTTGTTGATCTTGTCTATGCTCTCTTGCTGCCGCTTTTCACTCTGTCTCCTTTTGATTTGATTGATCGTTTAAAACACAATTTGGATTATGCATTAACAGAGAACGTAAAACGTATCAAGTCAATGGTTTTAACTATATAAATAAATAACAATCGTCATAATAATTGTAAATGGTAAAAATGAGTCGAATCAGAGTAAAAGTCGTGTCAGTTGGCGCTCAAATTTCTCTCTTGATTTTTTTCTAGTAGGCAGCAAATCATTGGTATCTAGTTGCAGTAAAACACAATAAAAATGATTGACGAGAGAGAGAGAGAGAGAGAGAGAGAGAGAGAGAGAGAGAGAGCAAGCGAGCGAGAGAGAGAGAGAGAACAAGTTTTGTACAGAAGATCTCTTAAGCGCATTACACAATACTCAAACAGAGTCAATAATGAGTAATGCGTTAAAAACATTTCTATTTCATGGGTTTTAATTCTCTCTTTACATATGGTCTTATGTCACCTTTGGATGAACGAATTCGTAATTCGAATCACATATTTAATGCGAATCAATTTTCAATTGAGAAGTGATTTTAAATTTGAGAATTTAAAACATGTCGTACCCAACCGAAATGTTTGAGAACATGAACAATATTCATGAATCATTTAGCAAATTAACTCTTGTGGAATCAATCGAATGGAAAAAAAAGTTTTATTTTCACTATTAATCCACTCACTCACTAACTCTCTGGATGAACTCATTTCAATTGGTTTCAGCTGAAAAGTACCATATCTCGTGTTCAAAAGCCATAATTCACATGAAAGTTGAAATTAATTCGAGCATGTTCTATGATTATCTGACGATAGCACTATCATTTCAATTCGATCGAAAGAAGAATAAAAAAAAAATGAAAACACGGAGCATTGGTCATTCGAGCGGGTCCTATTGTCAATTTTTATCGATGCTCGATCAAAGGGGCAACACAGCATTAACAATGGATTTTTGTTTCAAACATATAAAGTGTTTTATTTGCTTTTGAAAATTCAAATGATAATCTGACCTTATGACAACATTTGGAAACGCACACAGTGCCATCTCCAATTCTGCGTGTTAAACGAACATGATGAACTCTCTCTATGCACCATTTGATGAAACATGAAAAAAAAACGTAACGTAAAGAAGAGCAAAAATGACAACAGATGTGCCAAGCAACATAATCATGTGTGCGTATATGATAGTTAACATTAGCGTATGTTAGAAGAGAAAAAAACTCAATGAATTAAGTTGCTGCGTAGTGGCAATAGAACTCAATCGAGCCTTTATATCTTAATTACATGCTCGTTATTACAATGTATGTAAAAAAAAATGCAACGATCATGCAGTCGCAGTGCAGTGAACTGAAATTACTCACATTTGACGAACAAACAAAGATTAATTTCCAATTAATTAAATGGATAATAGTTTGTTTACCTTACACACAATTTTAATTATAACATTTAGATCATACGAACGCGAAATGACGATGGAAATGGGCAATGATGGTCAATTTTCACATTATCAACTGACCAAACTGAAAATTACCCGTATAAAAGCAAATAAGCGATTAACCAGCGTGTTTTTTTTTCGTTTTTTTTTTTTCAATATCGCCGAAAATTCGAGTTCAAATGATCATTCGATAATGTTGTTTTTAATCAACAGTTCGATTATTTTATGCAAAAAAAATTTTTAATTCGTTTCGTAAGTTCTTTAATCCACTTAGTTCCATTTCGTTGGCTTGTTCGAACACATAATTTTGGTTTTTAATTTCAAATAAAACGTCTTCAAATATTCAAATTATGCATTTGCTTCAAAATTGACTCTTTTTTTAAAAACCGTTCGTGTTAATGCAAGTCAGTCATCTCATAATAATCGTGGACAGAGGTCAAACGATAATTCATTTATGTATGAATATTCTCAATTTTTGTTTTGTGTGTGTGCTCGCGCGCGAAGCGTTTGACCCAATGGTGAACAAATGATGTGCGCGCACACGTTTAAAAACCTCATCCTATCTTATCACCTGATCTAATCAAATATAATAACTTGTGCTGCGTACACGCACACAATCAACAAGGATAAAATGAGCAGTGAACAGAACACACTCCCCGAAACAAACCAAAAATTGCTTTTCGCCCTTTCGTTTACGTGATCCTTGTATTTTATTCCGTGAACAAAGTTTTTTATTAATTGAATGGATATCTCTCGTTTTTTTTCGGTTGGATTGTATAATTTTTTTTTGTTCGGTATTAATTTGAGTGTGCACAGGCGGTGAGCGATAGAAACGAGGAATAAACCACTAAAAGAGCAATAAATTCAAGAAGAATTGATTGAAACGAATGATAAACGGAAAAGCGAATTAAAAAGTTAAACAATTTATGGTATTATAATAAGTTGTAAGGTGAGTGCGTGAGCACCCGCGATGTTCACAATTGGGTTGGCCGTACATGTATCGTTTGAAAATTGGCTTTTGTTGCGGCCACAACATATAGTTATTATTTAATTTTATTCATTGGATTCACTTCACTAACTCGACAACCGTGTGGATTCGATGATTCGATAACAAGATATTGATTTTATCGCCCAATTACACCAATTGGACATTGATTATAATAACATGATTGGAATCGTATGACTAATTTTTTATTTATTTCTTTTCAATAATTACTTTTTTGGTTGTGACACTTACCGTGAAATCATAGCGGCATCTTGCAGTGAGGTAGAATCGGTTAAATTGGCGTTTGGTGTGCTGATCGTGTCATCTTTTTTGTTTTCGGACCGATTTAAAATGCTGTTGATTGAGAAGCTTGTAAAACCCGTATTCGTTTTTCCTTGATCGGATGCGGTGGTGGATTCCGTTTTGGCTGGGCTAACGCTTGCTCGTTCATTTACACTTCGATCAAGAGCAGGCGATCGATTTTGAATCGGTGTTGATGTTAAACGTTCTCGCGTATCAATCGAATGCGTTGGTGATGGTTCTGGACTTGAAACCACATCAATATCCTCATCATGCTCGTGAATCGACATTTTGTTTTTATTTTTAAAAAAATGTTTATTTCAAAAATATATATTTCAAAGCACACAAATTTCGACTTAAATCAAATTTTGGTTTATTTGATTTCAATTAAAGATCTGCGAAAAAATCACTTGAACAAATCACGAAATCACTTCAAGAAAAAATTCACTTTAAAAAATCGAAGCGAAACCAAAAAATGATCAATATTTTTGAGGCACTCGAAAAATGTGCGTCAATCATCGGCAACGTTCACGTCAGTAATGGTTTCAGATGATCCTTGCTGAAAGAATATCAACCCTCGAGTTGTGTTTGTCTACTTTTATTTTACATCATTTTCATCATCGTTCAGTTTCACACATATTGAGAATATGAGAGAATGAAGAGTGTGTCAGAAGAGGTGAGTGCGGCTCATCGCATGCATACCGTTTGTATCCTTTTGTATTCAATTGCATATTCTCTCGCTCTAACATACTGTCAAAAGGGATACACACCGAAAACTAAAAGAGAATGTGTGCGTATGTAAGTGGTTGTAATTTATTCAATGCTTTTGTCTGCTTTATTGTTATTGCTATTGTTGATTCGGCTGGTTTTTGTTATTTTTGTTGTTGTATTGTACCGTGTGGTGTGTATTTACGCTCTTGGATTGAACATATCAAAAGGAATAACCGTAACCAAATAAGAGCATACACACACACACTCTCTGTTGGGATTTATTGAAGAGGCGTGACTTATGCTCTTTCTCTGTGTAAATTTTTATTCTATTCAGTTTCGAGTGTTGTTTTCGCATATTGTCAAAAGGATATGTTCAAGCTAATAGCTTGTGTATGTGTATAGATTGCAATGGAATGCTAGTTTTGCGACGAACGATCCACTCCTCCGTTTGTTATAGATCTAGCACACACGCACTATCAACGGTCGCATATGCGATACACAAACATATCTACACTCAATAGACAAAACACATTTCGAATATTTTTAATTATTACAACGTATTTATCATAATATAATTTAGGAGCAAATTCTAATCTACATAGTAATAAATGAGTGAGGCACGACACCAACGGGGGCAAATGGTAACGCAAAACTTAACAAATGAAATGATATTCACACACGCCAAAACGACGTAACAATGGCTTATAATAAATGAAATGTATGTTAAGTAGATAGAACGAAGTGACCGAAGACAATTATTTCCCACTTAAATTTAATTAAATAGATGAACATTTTTATTGTACCAACGAATGCAACGCTGAATAGACAAACACACACTCACACACACAGATACAAATTATACATGAACCGCAAAGAGGCCAGGTGAAATTAAATCAAACTCATTTGTGTCACATTTCACATATATTTCCTGGGAAAATTATTATTTGCAATTTTCTACGTTTCAGATTTCATTGTTGCCAATTTCGGAGCGGTGACCGTTGATTATTTGCCGTTGACAGTTTCCATTATAATTCAACTTAATTATATGTATGGCCATCAAAATGGTTATATGCGAAAAATGGATGACATCAACGCGCGCGTGCATCCACACGATCATCACTATATGACACTCCATTGCCATACCTCAATTTCCATCAATTGAAATCAAAGCAGCGGGTTAATCGTAACACATGAAATTATTTTCCACTCATTATTATTCATTCTCGGCAACTCTCTATCTTTTGTCTTTTGTTAATACATAGATGATACCTTTGCACGATACTTAACCGATTTCACAGAAAGAACAATTCATCAATAAAAGTATATTACATATAAAAGACAGATTTTTTGTTTTGTCGAACATTTTTATGGGTATGTGACACCAATGCATACAATTAAACGGCTTGCATTTTTATGGCAATCATTTGTCACGTTTTTAATTATAATGAAATAAAGTATATTTTATTCAACTCTTCGATGCGTGTTCACGATAAAAAATGTCCGTTCTCACACATTTGACCCAGTTTTCGTGGGGATTTTTTTGGAAACATAATTTTCATTCATATATAAGCTCGAAAATCCATAATTTTTTCCAATAAATTGAAAGTGAATTTTGTTTTAATGCACTTTTATGCAAATAAATATGAAATTAATTTATTGAAATTCAAAAACAGAACTTGCTTAATTGCATGAAAAATTATCCACACACTTTTTATACGGACGCAATCGATAACAAGTCAATGTAACAGTTTTTATCTCTTGATAATGTATACAATTTTACATTTTAATTTTAATTTAATTTTAGCCAATCAAACGTAAATAAACATGTTGAATGCAGTTGAATGTTTTGATTTTGTATTTTTTTGTGACATTTTTTTCTCTCTAAAAGTTGTAATTTTCGCTGTAATATTCATTGTCATGTGATTTTGATTTTTTCCTGCTCATCACAATACTCATCCCATATTTATTGTGAAACGAAAACAAAGGCCGACAACAATGAAAACATCAAAATGATTAGTTAAAATAAACGCAGCGTCGATCCAATTTCTCTGGTGTTTTTATTACTATTATTAGGAATTGTTATTCGCTTTCGTACATTCGAAATGAGCCTGATGGGTGGTGCTTATTGTTTACCAAAAAAAAAACTTGAACAAGAATATGATGAGGATAATAAATATGTTTGGCGCGCTAATAGTACGTTTTGAAATCGGTCTTTTACAAAAGGAAAACTACACACACTTTGGGCAAGAAAAAAAGCGCACACACACTGGGAACATCAACCGAAAACAATCATATATCAAAAATCGTTGACTGATGGTTGAGGTGCGCGTGTGTTCCCTTAAATTATACTATTACAGTGAATAAAGCCCGAATGCGATGAGTTTATGCAGACAATGAAAATCTATTCTGCATGAACTGCTAGGGAAAATCACACACACTAAACACATTAAAGCAAACAATGTGTTCGGAATCGAATCCACTAATCAAAATTGAAACTGTGATCTGTTTTTTTTTGTTGATGTTGAACCAAGACCAACGTGGTTCGCATAAACATTGGTGTACGCTGATTGTTCAACTATACTTTCCACTTTAAAGTAAAAATAATAATAAAATAAACTGAAATAATTGATTGGTAGCTGTTTCTCTTTCACGTTTTGCTACTTTCTATTGCGCCTACTTGCATTTTAGTTTTTTTTAAAGTGTTTTGAATCCATTTTAATCAGGAAAAAAAGGGCTTTTGTTGTCGATGTATTTCAATAACGACGCATGGATTGTATCTTATTTAATCGCATGTTGATTCAAATGCACTTAGTTAAAATGCTACCGCTTTTCGCATTGGATTCGCTCGGGGCTCGCCTTTATTCGTAAAAGAGTTGTACGTGTGCACGTTTTAATGACTATCAAATCGTTCCTTCCATTCTATTCACTGGTGCTTTTTTCATTCTTCTTCTACTACTTTTGCGTTCGAATGCTAATGCGAACTTTTGTATACGATGTACGTGTGCATGCATTTTGTAGCATTTTTCAATTACTGAATCAGTGGCAATTGAATTAAACGCCAAATAGGCAAATGAATGACGTGAAGTTTGGCATGGAGGGTAGTTGTTTTGCTATCTGTATACAGACCAACTTTGATGACTTAACTGGAAAAGTTTTGCCGTTCTGTTGTTGTTGTTCTCATTTATGCCGTAATTGAGTATGGCAAAATAATGTAGAGTAAGTTTGTAATTAGGATTGATGGCGTGTTGAATGGAAACGGCCATTTTGGAAATGAAACACGAACATTCGCCATAAATTGCACTCGCTTCACGACCTGAACTTCAAACGAATTCATTTTTCGGCATTTTTATGATGATTTTCGCTTTATCCTTGAATTTAGTCAGTTTAGGTCTGTGTGTTTGCCGCAATCAATTTTCCTTTATGAGTGTGAACATTTTTTTGAAACGTAATCGGTTCTTTTGATTAAATTGCAAAAATTTATGAAATGAAAAAAAAAAGTTCGATTTTTTGTGTGTCGTCACCAATCTATTTAACAGATTTCGATAAATAATCCGCTTCACAGTGATTCGGTAGTCAAGAGTAAGCGCAAAACATCAGTCAATTCATTTCGAGTGCATTACTTAATCTTTTGTAAAATAGGTGGCCGCGCCCATTTCATCTATTGTTCACTCACTGTGTTTGTGTAATTTTACATCGGCAACGATCAAAAAAATAAATCGAAATGATCCGCTTGTGATGATCTTGGCGTTTGTTATTTGTTCACTGGAACATCTTTTCAATAACAACAAAAAAATGTGCTCTCGCGTTTATGTCACTCTATTATCCTTGAGTATCGGTATTGTTTGCGCTTAGTATATCGGATAGACTCTCATAGACAGAAAGAGTCGGAGAGAGTAAAATTACCGTTTGGGCCATTGCATTCTTTTGTCACATTGCCAAGTGATACTTTCTTCGGTAAATCGGTAAAAAGAACTTTCCATAGAACGCAAAATGTGTTAACCGAAAAATGTACAAGCATTTTTTGAATTGCAGGCCATTAGCTGCATAAAAACATCAAGTATTTATTCATTTTTATGGTGAAAATGATATAATGAATACAAACAAAACGCGATGGATTTACCCGATTGTCTTTGAATGCAAAACAATGCAAAATTGTATAAACAAACAGTTTGCATGAGCCGCTTAAGTGAAGCACAAGTTACACCTTCGCTTTATCGCTTTTTGCATTGTCAATTGTCAACAATGACCGATGCACACTCAACACTCGAGCATCTTGTACACATCTACATAATGGACATCACATAGAATGGCTCTTCACCATTCAAACCTATCAATGAAGTCCAAGAAGTTTTTAAAAAAATGGCTAGAAAAATGCATATGCAATGTTAAACAACGTTCATCATCGTTTTAAAATGTCCAACCAACAATATCTCTCAATTGTGCCAAAAATATATATAAATAAACTATCTATTTTGAATGTGATTGTTCTTTGGTCAGCACTCAAAACAAACAATAACGAATAGGCTAAATGTTCATTAGGACTTGGACAAATATATGACAACAATGCAATGTAATGCTACGAGATGCAATGGAGTGCATCTATTTGTTTCGTATTCTTTGTATCGTTGTATTCACCGGTTTGGCTCTTAATTCGAATGTTTTTCGTTCTTCTTTTATGTGTCGTAGAACGGATAGATAAAAGGTGTCTTTGTCATCGGATTAACTAACGAAAATACTCATCATTGCTATTGAGCTCAAGGTGTTTGCCGAAAAAAAAATCGCACATAATAGTGTTTTCTTATTGCTACTGACATAAGACACACTCACAAGCACACAAAACTGCGCATTTCTCTCTTCCATCCACATGACAATTTCTTTTCTTCTCTTCGTCAAGAGCACACTATCTTTATACGATCTATTTGCTGCTGGTATTACTTTCTTGCGTGTGTACTTGAACACTTTTTTTTGTGTTTGCACAAAATCGGTGATCATCTTTTACTGTGATTGAAGATGATGGTGCCGATTAAGTGAGTGAGAGATGCTATATATTGCAGTGTAAACATTGAAAGAACAACGACACAATGTGCATCATTGTGTGCCCATTGATCGAATTCAATAGATTGATACTTCTTAGTTGGATTTTGATGTTTGCCTTGTTGTTGTTCTGGGGCGTTTCACTTCTACTTTAACCACATTGTGCTGTGTATCTGTAACTGATTTGTTTGAGAGAGAGAAAAGAAAAGGAATAACGAACGTGAACGGTATAGTTTCTTGTAATTGATTAGTTTAAGTGGCAAAGTTTTGTCAAGATTTCTTCGGTACTGATAAGCACACACCCCGAAGCAAAGTGATGAAATGAAATCGTATCTCTTGAACGAATAAGATTTTGATCATCAGCATAATGAGCATTTCGTGTGAATATGTGCCAGTGAACATAAACCTTTCATCTTTTACCGACGGTATGTGTGTGTGACACCGAACACTTTTCATGTACTTGCGGTCTATTTTTTAATTAATTGAAATACTCAAGCATCAATTTCAAGCGAAGAAAAAAATATAAAATTTCATAATCTCGAATTGATTCACATAGAAAGTGAGTCACACATCTAAATGGAAATGAAAATGTTACCCAATCATCAATGAAACAAAAAAAAGGGTAGCAAATTAAAAGTATTGAAAAGAATATGGACCAAATTGGTTTTTTGAATTTCCGCAATTATTTTAAGGGACTTTTTCAAGAGTTTACAAGCGATAAATTCTCATTTATTTTGATTGGGTCGATAGAAAGTTGCCGCTTCAAAAGTCCGAAGCATATGGCGCCATAAGAATCATCTGTAATTGAAATATGTACGGTAAATTGAAACAATAACTCAAATGAAGGTCAGACAATAATAATAAAATGGCAAACATGGTACATTTTGGCTGTGTGCCGTTGAGATTTATCGAAAAATTATGGGATAAAGTGAGATTTGTAAATAAAAAATAATCGATTACTGCACAATAGCCCTTGTTACGGTTTATTTTACTTCTAAAAATCATTCTCTGTGCGAATTGCACTCGAAACGGGATGGTGCAGCATCAGTCTATTGTTCAGTAAAATTGGTTATGATCATAACTCTTAATCTTGTTGAATTTTGTTATTCATGTCAGTTCGTTGGCGTTATTCATTGCCGAGAGAGAGAGAGAAAGACAGAAGGATTAGTCTGTTATGGTCAGTGGTTGCGAATGGTAAATCCGCTCAGACAACGAGGCATCGAGACGGTAATATATGAAACAAGCGAAAAACCGAGCTAAACCAACATCAACTGTTGCATGCCTCGCAGTACAACCTATGTGGAGCCACTTTGATGCGATTTCGGTATAATTATTTTAAATGTTTTCGATTATTTGTATTTATTGATGTGCAACGTTGAAGTGCATTCCAAATTGAATCGATAGATTGAAAAAGTAGCAACCGAAATAAAACGTTTGAATATCGCCGATTGAAAAGCGATATTTTCAAACTATTCCGCAGAATAAAACGATGTGTGCGGCAATTTTTGAGATACGAAAAAAAAGAAGAGATTCAATACTGACTCAAGTATCAATTTAACAAGTATTTTTCTCTTTCAAAATTTTTCTCGCTTTTGATAAAAACGATCCAATTTCAATATTCTGTTAAAAATCAGTCGATTTGATTTCAAGGGAATGCCGCGCACTCGTTTAACTCGAATAAAAGTAGCCAAAATAGTAGCAAAAATGGTTGCAGTTGAATAATTCGGAACAATAGCGTATGTGTATATGCGTCTAGACACAAATGGATGTTTTCATTCTATGCATCTTTAGCGAAACCAAAACAAAACAACGAAAATAATAAATCCATTTTTTTCGGTCGACCAACAGAATAATTGCCATTTTTACTCTGGTTTTCTTTTTAGTTTAACGAAAATCAAAAGAAGAGCAAACAAACAACATGCACAAAGAAAACATCTTCTAAATCTTTTCGTAAACAATGAACATAAAAAGAATACTGCATCAAATGTGTACGATTTTGTGCATTGCAATTTTGAGTGCATGCCATTGTAGCATGCTGCAGTGAAGTGTAATGTGAATGATACATCGACAAGGAGAGAAAGAAAGAGAGAGCGACGGAGAAAGAAACACCATGTTTCAGAATGCGACCCAGTTACGTTGGATCAAAAAAAGGCTATTCGTGTGGTCCTCGCTTGAAATTCAAGATGGTATGAAATGGTATTTTTATAGCTCATTTGAGAGTGTAAGAGAGAATTGCGATGTAAAATCACGAGTGGAAAATAATACAGCCAGCCGAATAGCCAGCGTTCATAAAACATTTTGAAAATGCCTTGCGCTCCCCGTACAGAACGGAAACACAAATTAAATCACTAAAAATGAGAGAATAAAATTGATTGCAAGTGTTAAACAAACAATCATTTACACAAATGATCAACATTGTTTTGCTTATTCATCGTGTCCGAGTGCACCACGAGCACACACAACAAAAAATTTGAAAATGTACACTCAATAGATATAATTCACGTTTCAAATGGATGACGCAGCGTTACGTTAATACAATATATCTATGTACATATGGTGGTGGCTTAAACTAGGACAAAGCATGAAATACACATTAATTATTTACAACCAACGACCGGTCGGACCGGCAAACGACGACAGTGGTAGTAAAATTCGATTTATAACTACTTGTGAGTCAAATTGTTTTTCTTTGCCAAAGTTCACATATACACACATGCATTTAATTATTTAACACAACAATTGCTCTTTGCATACACAGAGGGGACGAAACAGAAAGAGAGACAAAGAGTTTGACACTAAATAAATACTTCGCGACAACATTAAAAGTGGCGATCACCATGCCCGACCAATGGTTAATTGTTTACGCTATTTATCATTGTTGGTTTTTCGTTTCGAACATGGAAAATATCCGTCGTCTTTGCAGTGCTCTGTGTAAATCAATTGCGAGAGTTGTTAAACGTTAATTTGATTACATGAAAAATGAGCACGAGAGTGGACAAATAAACATCAACTTTTATTGACATTTCACACAAAACAACATCGTAGATAATTATCGATGGTGTTTCATATTGTCGATTCACCACCAAAATCGGTTAACATACAAACTCGCGCACCAATCGGGCAAATCAAAGGCGGAATCATTTTGAATCTGACGAAAGGTGAGAATTGTACAAAATATGCCCGCATACATATGAAGGAAAAGAAAGTTTTCGCATATCATTGTCACATTGAATGTGCCAGCAAACATTGCCGCTTGTCACTTCAGACTTTGGTGTTTCGATATTGTTTTTGATTTGAGGTGGAATTAAATCACAATACGAAACGGCACACGTCTCAGTCGATTCTATTGATTATAATCTCAAGAAGTATGTCATTCAAATCAAATTCACACACACAAAATCGCTGATGATTAGGCAAATTCACTCCGTCAAATTCGAATTCAGATCAGAATATAAAAACTCGTATCGAATCTTTTCGACGGTTACAGTTCATTTCCACTTCTCGTCACGTACGATTCAGAAAGACAAACTTCTCTGGTTTGAACGAAGCACAAAAGTTTTCAGACGTTTTTTTTTTTTTTTGATCGCGTCTGTATTGAGAAATGTTGAGTGAAAAGTTGATCAAGAGAATGTTAATTACAACGATGGTTCCGTGTTGTGTGTGTGGCGATAGAAGTTCAGGGAAACATTATGGCGTCTTTTGCTGTGATGGTTGTTCTTGTTTCTTCAAACGAAGTGTACGCAAGGCAGCGGTTTATACGTGTATTGGTGAGGATTCCTTTTTTTTTTTTTCATTCAACGAACAAGATTTGTGGCATATCCGTTTTCTTTTGAATTAGTTAGCTGATAACAGCGACAGTGAACGTATTTCTATCATAGAAATTCCATGTGCATCTTATGTGTGTGTATTTTATTTACGTTTTCAAAGCGCATTCAAACATTTAAAGTTTCAAAATAACTCAATTTTATTCTTATCGATTGTTGCACATGTGAATAACAAGTATCCAACGAGAATAAGCGTCTATCAATATTGCTAATACATTGATGTATAGAATGTGTGATAAATCGTCCTTGATTCGAAAAGTTTTAATAATAAAATTGAAAAAAATACTTTGCATTCTCTCAAGTGGGCAGAGGAAATTGTATTGTCGACAAGCAGAGACGAAACTGGTGTGCCTATTGCCGTTTAAAGCGTTGTCTTCAAATGCAAATGAACGTGAATGGTGAGATTATTTTCAGAAAATTGAACGATTTCTTGTGGTTATTTATTTTGTAACGTTTATCATTTCTTGTTATTGAAAAGCCGTTCAAGAAGAACGCGGCCCCCGAAAACAAAAACCCATAATTCAATCAAATATTCTCAACGAAGCAAAAAACATACCCATAAATAGTATGCCGAAGATTTTACCATTTCCATTTGAAACAAATCAAACGTTGAATTTTAATGTGATGGCACAGATTTTGGTGGCATGCGTAAAACAGGCAAAAGTTAACGAACATTTCCAACAGTTTCCATTACCGCAACAGAAGAACATTCTTAAAAATGTGTGGACGGAATGTTTTGTACTCCGATCATCTCACTGGCCTATTGATATTGCACCGATTATTGAACAGTAATTTTTTTTCTTTTCTAAATTCAAAATTTGATATTGAAAAAATAAAAAAGTCGTACTTTTTTAAGGTATGATGATCCGTTGTTGAAACAAGTTATAGACGATACGAAAACACTTCAGGCTGATTTAATGGAAATTTCACTGTTGGAAACATTGATTCTGTGCAGAAAAGGTATGAGCACCTGAAGTTCAATCAATATGGTGGTGTTAAAAATGAAAATCGCCTATTTTTGCATATTTCAATAACCAATTTTAATTACATCAAGTTTCAAAAATGTCTTCCAGAATATTCATTGGGCAAATCAGAAACGCAAAAAATTGAGCATTTGACTAATGGCGCCTTAATGACACTCGGCCACTACTGCCTACAACGAATGGAATGGACACGATTTGGAAGATTATTATTAGCTTTGCGGTCCTTGTCCTTGTCACCTTTTGATACAACACTAAAACAGCTTTTCAATCATCTTATCGACGATGTTATTGAATCGAAATGAAGGAATACTTATTTCTGCATCACATCATAGTGAACATAGCTTAGTTTCTATAGGAACCTTATACTATATTATAGTGATGGGCACATTAGCTGGCTAATTTGTCCAAAATTTATACACTGGCTAACGAATGTGTAAAGCAGCACTGATACATACATATATACACTGAGTTGTATGTCAGTGAGAATCGTTAGTAGTCATACAGATAGCTGGCTAACGATTGGCATACACCAGTTGTTGGTGTGAACCAAGGCTAAGACAATGCTGGCTAACGAGAAACCATCACTGCTATATTATATAAAGAAATCCTGCACGATATCTGCATTTTTTCAAGAAGAATTCGTCTGAATCTATCTCTGGCTTTATTACAAATAGCGATTTGAAGAACAAATTGCTAGTTCTGATCAAATAAATATGAGATTTTTAAATGTATACGGTATGAAGCAAAAACAGTACGTCTCATCTCTTGCTCTCACTTACGAGAATTTCTGTAGGCAACGGAAGGAGGTGGGATGCGAGGTGCTTGCTTCATACCGTATACATTTAAATTGAAGTAATGCTTGTTCTGGCGAAACGAAACCTCTAAAAATTGTGAAACAATGCAACAAAATAAAATGGAAACTGTAATAGTTTTTTTTTTCATATAGAATTTATTTATTATCTCATAGGTCATTTTTATTTTCCTAGTTTAACATTGAGTTGTTCAGTGTTGTATAAAATTTAAACAGTTACTGATAGCTGAGATCTTGATTTGTTGTGAAATTGAACAAATAAAAATGCATCTACATCTCATGTCGTACCACATGAATGAAGAAACAGTGTACAAATGTAAGATATATATTTGGGCGATTGATATTTTATTTGATGAAACTCAAATGTTTGCCGTCGGTTGAAACCGTTCCAAAATCAAAGCAAAAATTCATTAAATAAATAGAAAAGTATGATTGTGATTTCTATTCTCATGACGAGTATAAACTATTTGATTTCAACTTAACCACTTAGTACGGTATTTAAAGCATTCATTATGCATTCTGTCGAATTGAGCCTTCTCCAAAAGCAATCGAAATTTGAAATGTTCATATTTCAACCAACACTTATAAAACATTCTCTTTGGCAATTAAATATAACATTTCTTAATTAATAAAAATCTATTGAACCATTTAGTATTTCTAACATATTATTTGTTTATTTGAGTAGTTTACCGACAGCTCCTGTCCGTTTGAATAAATTATCATATTTATATATATATATATTTTCTTTAAATTCTCTTAATGTCCAACATTGTTCGATCACATTTTATAATAGAATACTCTGTATTTGATATTCCATACAGGAATATCAGACTGAAAAATAACGCCCCTCACTCTCTGTCTGCTTGTGGCATCGTCAATTCTTTTATAAATCATAAAATTGATCCTTATTATTCATTGATTCTTTCCAACTACTAGTGATAGTGTTCATTTTGTTATACATACATATACAAATACATATTACATATAAATGTCAAGTATTATAAAATCTATGGTTTTGGTGGGATGCGACAGTTGTACGATTGAAAATGATGACTCTAGTTTTAACTCGATTAAGCTACAACTTGATTGAGTTAATTATTTGTTTATTATTATGTTTTTTTATTCTACTAAAATGTCGACACATTTAATTTTATCAGCAACTTTATATTTTCACTTCATTAAAGGTTTTTAATTTAATAAAATGCTACGTGTATGCATAGGACAAGTATAGTTGTCAGACATTGAATGGCGCTGTATCTATCCTATAAACATCGAACTAATGAAAATGTGTGGTGGTTCATGTCTTATTTAATATAAAATAGTGGAAATTTATCCAATGCACAAACCATTTCTTCTTGTTCCTCTTACATTAGTGTAGGGGGATTCTTCTAAAGTTCAGAGAATGACGTTTGCATATAAATACATGTAAAAGACACTTTTAGGCTCGTCCTATGCGTGTATGTTGAACTAGCTTAAGTTTTCTCGGGGTGTTAAATACAGCAATAAGTCTCTTTCGTTCGGATTGTGTTTGTATTTCTTTTGTCATCCGGTTAAATTTTAAAAGCACTAATAGAGTTGAACAAGCCACGGCCATATGGCAACCAATTTTTTTGTTTGTTGTATTATACAAAAATTGGTAGAAAATGAAAATTCCTACAATTCAGCATGTAAATTTATTTTGAAAACGTCAATTATATAGCATCTAAAATAGCAATTATACATTCAATTTCTACTGACTCTCTCTAGTCGCTTACTGAAAACTAGATTCAGAGCTGGTAAAAAAAATCAACAATCAACAATAAAGCAGGGGTAATACATTTCTTCCTACTTGGAAATTTGAAAACTTTTCTTTAATTCTACGTCACTATTACAATATAGTCGATTTTATTGGTTTCATTTTAGAAGCGCAATAAAATCAATGAGTTCTCTCTTTGTATACATTTATAAAGTTTCTGCTGCAATAATAATTTTTTTTGTATGCATTCATTTACTACATTTTGAATAAAAGAATTCTGAATTTGTGTCCATTCAGAAAAGTTTATCACAACAACATGAACTCGCACGCTGTTCCTCATCCAGTGAGAAAGAGAGCGACGGCATTTTTTTTTTGTCACTACTTGAAATTATTTTTTTATTAGCTTCATTTCACACTCTGTAAAAGGGTTTTCTATTCATAAAATTATTTGTCCAATAGCAAAAGAGATTCAAGAATGTTTCAGCAATTTTATCATCATCGTCGTCGTAGTCGTCGTTGTCAGCATAAAAAACTTGCCGGCAATAAAGTTGAATTGATCAAACATCGATTAGATGTGATAGCAAATGTTACCATTGTTGTTATTACTGTGTTCGGAGATGCTGTCACCGCTATTACTGCATATTGTTGCAGCTGAAATGGGTGATACTGCTCTTGATGCGATGTCTGATGATAAAATCGTTGTTGGTATTTCAAGTGTTGCAACGGTTGAGATTTGGTTTGCATTTTGTTCATTGGGTTTGCGAGGCGAACCAGCCGCACTGCCTGGAATTTGACTTAAATGTGTGCTACGATAATTGAGTATACAAGATGTGGGTGATGCGGGAATTTCTTCAATTTTTCCCAAATCTTGTGCAACACTCGCCGAATTTTGCTTATGCAATCGTGCCGGTTTCACATTCGTTGGACTCGATGACGGTCGTATTGAAATGTCTTGTAATGGCACATCCAAACTCGATTTCATTTGAGCAAATGTTATTTGTGACGGTCCACTACCGCTACTATTTTGGCAATCATCTTTGTCTAAACTGAATTGGCGTCTTAACAGTCGTGAAGAGCCGGGTTTATTGTCCATTTTGCTAACGCCATAAATGTACTTGCCATCGTTACACTGCGTTAAATTACTTTCCGATGGCGATAAGCATCGATAATGATTGTATGGTGAACTGAGATCGAGAAAATCTTCGAATTTTTTATATAATTTACATGATGATGCACTCGATGGTGATGGTGTTAAACGACCGAAATTCGTCGTCGCCAGTAATGTGTCTGATGGAAGTTCGGAGAGTTTACGTGGTTGTGGGCTTGTTGATTTGAAATCGCTTAAGCTCAATCCCAAATTAACCGAGGGTGCTGATTCAATGGAATATGAATTTGGTACTTGCACTGATTCAGCATCACGAGGCGGTGTTATTTCCACTTTAACATCGACCTGTTCGCCAGCCAATGATGATGACTGACTCGATGAATGCGTCGTACTGATACATGGTGTTTTCGTTCTTTGCTTTGAACGAATACAGTGTTGAATTAACATTTCATCTAAACCATGCGACTCACTGTCAATATAAAAATCAAAGAAATGAAAAACAAATACGTTTCATAGAAGAAGATGAAGGAGGATGAGACAAGAAAAATCAAAGAAACAACATCAATACGTTTCTTTAAAATCAATCGAATTTATTTTTATTTACCCAATAGGCGGTGGTGTCGGCAGCACCTTATCAAATCCTTTTTTTCCCAACAACCAATACGTATTCATTATGCCTTTGCCTTTGATATCAATTCCACCGCGCGGTTCGATATTATATCCACCGGCCTTTTCTAATCGATCACGCGTCGCTTCCGACAAATGAATTCTTGATGAAGAACCTAATTCGAAAGAGAAAAGATAGAGAGGGAGAGAGAGACGTTGTTGAATACATAATTTTCATTGAAGTATGATATATGCATTACTTATGCACAGTAAACAATGTTGCATTCCATATTACCTGTACTTTCCATTCGACTGGCCGTGTTTACCGTGTCACCGAACAAACAGTATCGAGGCATAGTTAATCCCACAACGCCAGCACAACAAGGTCCTATCATAGCATGGAAATAGAGGCGTAATTGTGTAAAAATATTGTGCAAAAGTGTTTTGTAAATTTTATGATTGAATTCAAAATAAACCTGTGTGTAGGCCAATGCGTAGTTGCAAGGGGACATCGGGAAGATGTTTTATTTTAAAACGGCCACTCTGATGTAAAAGATCCAATGCCATAGTGGCAATTTGCTCCGCGTGATCCGGAATGCGAACGGGTAAACCACTAACAACTAAAACCATGTGCCAAAAATAAATTTAAATGAGAGAATTCGGTATTTGGCAAATCATGGTGATTTTGCATTATTATAGTTTTGACGTAACTCACCCATGTATGCGTCTCCAATGGTTTCAATCTGTTTCAAAAATAGAGAGTTTTATTAAATTTTGTGTTAAAGTCACGTTTTCATGTTGCTGATGGCATCGGATGGCATTTCGGTTACCTTGTAAACGCTGTACGCATTTATGGTTGCATCGAAGCATGTATATAAATCGTTCAGCAGATCTACGACTTGTACGGGACTACAGTATGCAGCAATTGTTGTAAAACCAACAATATCACTGAAGTAAATCGTTACATCTAAATATTCCTCTGGTTCAACGTTCAAACCGAGTTTCAGCTTTTCCGCAACGGAACTTTATTCCAAAAGAGAGAAAGGTATGTGTAGAATGGATTGGAGTTTGTATGTGTATGTGTGTGGGAGGAGAGCAAAAAAGCCATTGAACAATAAAAAAAAACAAAGCAAATTACAAGGAATACAGAGACAAGATAATTGGCAGTAATTGACACAAGCATCAAAAACACGTTTTGTTGCACAATGTTCGCGCGGGCGTATTGACACATTCACAATTGGAGTGTGCAACAAGTAAGTCGTCACAATAGAAAACAAAATCAAAAATAGAAACAGTCGATAAAATGCAACAAAAACGAAATAAAGAAATTGAAAACAACAAAAGATTGAAATGAAATTACGTGATAAAGTTGTGTAAGTAAATGCGATGACCCGAATTCAATCAATGGTGTTGACAATTTTAAACTCGCATTCGCACACACACACATGTACAATAATGATAGCACAGAAAAATGCGTCAACAATTGAAGCGTCCTTACCTTGGAAGCATTCGGTTCAAAAGTTGCTCAGTCTTTTTACGTTCTATATCTAATTGTTCGGTACGTTCTCTGATAAGCTCCTCCAAATTGTTTGAATATTTTTCCAACATTTGAAACATCGTATCGACAAAATTTACTTTTCGTCCATGATTTAACACCTTGAATCGCTCGTAAACACTGTCGTTTTTATTGAAAGAAATAAAAATAAAATAAAAACCGAATCGATCAAACATCATTTTAAATATATGTAAATGGTTAACGTTTCAATTAAATTAAGTGTGGCATTTATTGGCAACATTGAACTTACGAATTAAAATCGGGTCGCATATCGGGTGTTTCGGCCCAACATTGACGCATGATATTGATGGCTTCGGGTGGTGCAGCTTGCTTGGATACCGAAGGTCGTATGAGCGGTGGTGGTTTTTTCAATTTTGATATTATTTCTTCAGCTGATAATGACAGCATGCAATACGGTTCGCCCCGCACAACAACCTCTTGCATTATTATTCCGAATGAATAGACGTCACCAGCTTGGGTGCCAAACTTGTTATTGCTTTTTGGATTCCGTAACAATTCGGGCGACGTCCAAAGCAATTCTGTTGCGAAAAAAAAGAAATTGAATTGAAAAAAAAACACATACACACCCAACGTAATTGGAATATTTGACTAAAAAGGAATAAATGTTGGTGGTACAGTGGAAAAAAAGGCGACGAAAAAAATGTCATGAAAAATGTCTTCCGGACGTGATTTAATAAATAATTGAAAAATAAATTACGTTTGGCTGATTTTGTTGGAGGTTGTACGCCCTGTGCCTCATAAAATTGATTCAATCCATAGTCGGTGACTTTCAAAACCCATCGAGCATCGACAACACAATTTCTTGACGTCAAGGCACCGTGTACACGCAACGCTGACGAATGTAAATATCGCATAGCACGCACCAAATCGGTTAATAAACTTAAACGAAATGACCAGTCTAATTTAATTTCGTCCATGATAAGCACATCTTGAAGTGAACCACGCGAACAATACTCGAACACTATTGCGTTCCGCATTGGATCTGCCAGCCAACCTACATGCGATTGAATAGACAAATGAATGAGTCAATGGAGAGCAAAACATATCAAGCAAATTTAATCGTGAATATCACAAAATGAGTTGCAAGAAAATCAAAAGACAGAATGAACCGAATCAGATGGGGAGCGAATGAGCAATTCAAAAGAAAAAGAAAGTGATTTCTTTTCTTTGCTTAACACTCGCCTCGACCAAAGAATTTGATACGAAATCATAGAGCGTCTTGTGCGAAGAAAATCAAAGCACACACACACTCACTCACATACACACATCTAATCGACTGGAAAATTGCTTGTTTCCTATTTATTCGATTTCGATTCGGTTGATGAGCATTTGTCCGTTGGCAATCGCTTTTCATTTGACTTTATCATTTTGACGGTTCTTTTCTCATTTTCTTTCAAAACTTCTTACATTTTGTACATATAGACAAAAGGAGGGCAGCACACAACAGTCAATGCCAAAGCTAAAAGCATCGAAAAGTGCACGAAAAAAAAACGGAACTAAAAATATGCTATTTACCGATTAAGGGATTTATATTCTCATGTCGCAATCCATGTGCCATTACCAGATGGTCCATGGCTTTGGCTTTCAGCTCGTTCGATGCACCCGTTGGCATTTCCTTCAATTGCACTAAATCACCCTGAAATACATACATACACATGCAAGAGAAAGATAAAATCAAATGGAAATTATGATCTTACTACATCGATTCTGTTTGTTAACCGCACAAAAAAAATATTCTGCATTTTTCTATTATGACTAAGCACAGAATATGTAGTGTTTAGCAAATGAGAACCAGCTAGAGAGACAAATGCTACCGTGTTAATGTAATGACAATAAGAAGAGAGAGAGAAAAAAATGTGCGCGTCATCCGTATCGGCGCACAGTGGGAGTTTAATTGGTATGTTTTTAGTGTATACGTACATTATAACGAGCTCGTTTATCAAGGCAAGGATTATGCTTTATAATGTTGCCCGATGTGGAAACATTTGCTTTCATATTGGTTGTTGTTGTGGTCGCAACAGCTGGTGCGGTCGATGTTGTGGTCGATGTTGCCGATGATGCGTTGTTCACCAAACCAAGATTCTTTAACGAACCGATCGAACCTTTCAATAGATCCGGTTTGTCTACCTCTGGACCGCCAAACTCTTGAAGTTGCTGCAACCAACAGCACAGCATTGCTTCAATGCCTTCATCAACCTATATACATATTGATGAAATAGAAAATTCAATTTATATGTTTTTCAATTCAATCAAACTTTCACAGAAAAAAACCCCAACAAAACCATGAGCATAGACTGTGCAAACGGAACAACTTCACAGACCGTGGCATCGTACTACTGCGTAAAATATTTCTGGGATTGTTCCGAATTAATTCCATAGAAATGAGATACTTTCACATTGATGATAAAATATACAAACATTTTTTTTTATTTGCATACAAAAACGATGAAAAAAGACCCACACACTATTTGCTATATTTTGATGGAGAAAATTCCATTATGAACCTTTCAATGAAATCAAATTAAACTTTTTTTCTGCTCTATTTTTTATCTGTCGTGTTTGTTGACCATGTTTTTTTCCTCACATTCATTTGGTTGAATTCAAATACTAGACGTTTTTTGAGCAGAAAATTAAGATGTATGCTGTATGTTTGGTGAGTGTGTGTTTGAGCGAGATAGGAAATGAGAAAAAAGTATATGTGACACTTTATTCCTTATCGGAACAGAAAAATCTGTTATCATGTCAGGCACCGAGCTTGATCAGAGAGTGAAAATATATCGGCGGAAATATTGTCGACCATAAATTTTTCGCTCGAAAAATGTTCACAAAAGAAACACACACACACTAGACACTGATTCAAAACAACATCTACAAATGCCAATTCAACCAACAATGAAGTAAATCGTGTGGGAAAAGTTTTTGTTTGTAAATGTAAATCGTACAGCAAATAAGAAAATGGTCTGTTACACACAAAAAAGAAACTGGTGCACACGGTTAAAAGACAAAACGTTTGTATTGTTTTAAATGGTCAAGATTTGCATTTGGCACGGAAGATATTTGTTTTTCCTTTGAATAATGAATAAATAAAATGCATAAAGTTTAATGTGAACTTACCCGTCGTACGTCAATCGGAAAAACAAAATCGGCAGCCGATAGAACAATCTTATTCGGTCCCTTCGATAGTCGCTTTTTCAACAAATAATTTCTGCAATGTATTTTCCATCCATCCCGAAACGAAGACAGAAATGAAAGAAGAAAAACAAAACAAAAGAATGAAATTGAGAGAAGTGAATAATTGATCTGATGATGTATGGGTGCACAATGTCTCGAAATAAAAGATCAAAATGGAAGCCAAAAAATTAAGCCAAAACTTTGTTAAAAGTTGAGATGAAAACAAAACAAAAGCCCCCCAAAAAACGGAAACCAGTGAATAAACGAAGAGGATGATTTTCCGTGAAAGAAGTGGTATGCACAAAAAAACACACAGCACTAACACTACAATGCCGAGAGAGCCTCTGGATGGAAAGTGACAAAGACCAAACAATAGTATATATGCGGGAATAAAACGTGAACGAAGAGTAAAAGAAAGCAAGCAATTATCAATGCCAACAATATCCGTGAATTCATTCAGTCCTTTTCTGCTTTCTGTTTGCAATGTCGTACAAAATAATCATGATTGGAACAAAAACAAAGAGCCGCGACATGAATCAAAGGGAAAAAAATGTACAAGCGAAAAATGCTCAAACTATGCGGAGACAATGTTGATGTGATGCAAAGTAACATGACTAAAATGCTTTGGGGTCTAGTGCTCTTTGGATGAACCGAATGAAAAAAAAAAATGTTTCGCGCGAACACTCACACATACAGATATTTATGTATAGCGTTCGACATGCTTTTTGTGAAATGACTTTTGAGCGCGCATTTTTCTCTCCTTTTTCTAATTTACATCAATTTTCATTTTATGGAACGACTTTTCACATACTTATTTACGCCTCCGTTGCTGGTTTAACAATAGATTTCCATTTTTATTGGCCTAACGATTTCCAGCGAAATGTTTTGCAATCGCGAAATGCAATGATATCCATCCGAATGCGAATCATCTGTGCGTAAATATGTAAATCGATGAATTTTTATGAAATCTTTTTTTCTCTTCCCCCCTTTTTCTCATCGCACTGAATAAATTCGCATAAATAATAAGCGTTTAATAGTCGGCATTTCGACAAATGTTTTTGAAATCCTTTTCTCGGAATTAATTTCGGAAAACACCAGCAAACCAAAAAAAAATGAAACGATTTCACTTTTTCCCCAGCGTTTTTCTATATGAAAAAAAAAAATGTTTGTGTGAGGAAACCTTTTTTTCTATTAACATGTTTTTGTTCGTGGCACTATTTCAAAGAGAAACAAGCGGGTGTGGATTAAAAGGATTTGCTTGCTGTTGATTCCGTGAAAAGGCAACGGAGCTCAAATTGGCCGGATGACACTGTCACAGATTGTGAATCAAAATCAGCGAAATGTTGAAATTTTCCTTGTTTATGTTCGCGAATATAGTACAATATTAGATATGAATGCGTCTAAGTTTTTGCAATGAATTGTTGGAAAATTCGAACGACTGCGAACGAAATCAAATTGAATTATTTCGGTTTTTGATTTCTCTTTTCTGTTTCTATTTGATGTTCTTTTTTCTGGTTTTTCCTTTACTTGGTACAGATTCATATTTTCGACGGAACAAGTTGAAGTGCTTTGAATTTATTGCTTTGAAAATATGTTTCACAAACTATTCAAACAAATCGATTAATTCCGAAGTCCAAAATCCACCGTATAAACCATGATAAAAATGCTTCACATTTTGCATTTTCCTCATTCTATTTGTGTGAAACAGCATTCGATGTGTACGTGCCTCATATCGAATCGATTTGAAGTCATGCTTAAAAGGATATAATACGAAATAGATAAAAACTTATCAAATATATTCGAGCTTCGGGTTCATTCTTTGCTTTCGCTTTCGTTGCGTGAGAGACAGAAAGATAAGAAATGAGATTCAACTAATTCATTGACATAAACGCAATAAAGCTGTTGGCAGCAATTTATTCGGATTTTTTCTTTTTGATTTCGAAACAGCAACTCATAAAGAAGTCAAGCACAAAACCAACTGAAGATGAGATAACGGTAGAAATTTGTTGAATCTCCGACTTGCTTATAGACTTAGTTGCTTTTTTTCCTTTTCGACAACAAAAGACCTTGCCCTCGCATAAACATCTTGATCTGCGATATTCCTTTTTTCTTCTTATTTTTTTCTGCGGCGAATTTCATTGTGATTCTTTTTCCTTGAATGGACATAGTCGAGACAAATGGGAAAATCGCACCGATTTCAGTGATTACAGCTAAAGATATTTGCTTTCCTGCCCCTGAGCTGCCATCACTATACAATGTATAATTTTTTATGATGTGATTTTTGATGGTTGAATAAAATTCCAACGGATGGATTCAATGGCAATCCAGCAAGATATTCAAAATGGTTGAATTTCGATGGAATAATGTGCATGCACAAAGTATGATACCCATGAAACAATCGTAACATTTCGAAGGCCGATTCATTTGTTCCATCGTGATAAATGAATAATAATTGCGCCTTTGTAGTTGCACTTTTATGAATTTCCCATCAATTGGAATGTTTTATTGTATACGATGTCACGGCATTGCACGTCATAGCTGCATGCACGATATTGAGTGGATTTGTAAATGAATTTGCATTCGTTTTCATTTCATCCGGATTAAATAAAAATGACATTTTCCCGCTCTGAACTATTTGTTTTTTGACACAAATGCTGACGCTCGGAAAACAAAATCGTTATTTTCAGTCGAAATTCAGGAATTATATAGGATTTTTTATTTTTTTATAAACAATATATTCATTTCGACCAGGAAATTTGCATTCGATTTTGTATACATTGTTCGCGCCACAATGCGTATGCAAAACACATCGATTCATCCATTTAATCTCTACAAATAAACAACGAGATAGATTGAAAGAGAAAAAGAGAAAACACGTGGTAAAAATAACGTTAAAATTAAAGTAACCAAATGAAAAACCACATGCAAACCAATGAACATGGACTGCACAGCGACACACACATACACAAAAACTGTATTATGAATATAACAATATAATCGAGTTTTATTGGTTTTACGTTGCTCCAGAGACAGAAAGAGACAGTGGCGTTCAGTGTTAAGAATCAAATTAAATTGGTCGGCAAAACCCAGTATAATATCGCATTTAAAAAAAATCAACAACAAAATAAAATACAATGAAAAGAACGTGTGCAGGATTCGGTGAGTGAGTGAATGTGTGTATGTGAACGAGAGAAAGAGAGAGAGAGTTAGTGAAATGTGAAAATAGAACAACCAGAAATATTCGAATCATCTACTCACCTAATTGCCAAACCGAACGTGATGCTCGCTACCAAAATACAAACGAGTAACAATATGACGATACCAGCCAAAATCCAGCACAACAAACCACACGTCCAAAATTTATGCGTATTTTCAAAAAACCAACTCGGATATCGATACGGCAACAATGGATGCGTGACAAAGATATTCTGATGGAGTTCATTTTGCCTTAAAATGAGAACCGGTCGCCATACAAATGTGGCAGCAATATGTGTTCGATTCAAAGGAATCGAATTGGTTGTATTGTTACGACTGACGCTGTCGGCATCGTCATTCTCATTCATTGAAGTGGCCTGATTATTTAAATGGAGCTCAAGCACACAAAAATCAAATGTATCGTCAAGCGTTGGCGATACGGTACCATTTGGTGCAGCAGTTACATATTTACTGCTGTTCAGTTTGTTATAATTGACAGTTAAATTATGACTTAACGCTAGTTTTGTTACGATAAAATCAAAAAATGGAAAATATTCACTGAATTCAGCATCAATTTGATTCGGTATCAGATTCTTTACAAATTCACTGCTCGTATCGGAAATGAGATTTGCATTCATTTCATCGCTTGTTTGCCATTCTACGGTTGTTGCGATTCGATTTATCTCAAGATTGTTTACATTTCTATTCGAAATATTTGGCATACTGTTTGATTTATTATTTTGCATGAAATGCTGTTGCTGGTGCTGTTGATGTTGTTGTTGCTGCGACACTAGTGTTGGCGGTGGTGGTGGTGGTGGTGATGGTGGATTCTTTTGCCGCCATAATTGTATTTGCTCACATAAAACTTTTGTAATATCCATTGTACGTGTACTATTAGCAAACAGTGTTGCTCTTTCGCGCAAAACCATTTCACATTTCGATAAACTATTATTATTCGGTGCACATATTGAAAGCGATTCGTTTACAGCATCTGCACGACTGGTGTTTCCGAATTTTTCGAAAAAATGTGTTTTATTGTGCACATCATGCGATGATTTCGCCACATTTGACATACTTTTTGCTTGTATCGCGGCCTCGGCCGCCACCGATTCAGCCCTCAAACGACAAATGTCGTTATGCAACTTTTCAAAAACAGATGCAATTAAATTTAATTCAGTTTCGTTGAAATGCACTAGAATATTATCATCGCCGTTGCTTTGGTATGCATCACGTTGACCGTACTCATTTAACCGCATTTCCAGCAAATTAATAGCACTGCGCTGATCGACGTCAATATCGGCCATTGTTGCTGCTGTTGCCGTTGTCGTTCGTTGTTTATATCCGGTCGTCGACTCATCACGCATTTTACCATAAATATTGTTAAAATCCGTGGTTAATGTTGCATTTAAAAATCGTTTCAATTTGGATGTTAACGTTGTCAAAACCAGCAAATTGCCCGACAACCATTTCTCTTTGTGTTGATTTATTGTTTTATAAAATTCATTCTGTTTATTGAAAATGTTGCCGATTATGTCAATTATTAAGATTTTTGATCGATTGTAAACGCTTAATTGACGCAGCAAAGTTAATGTTTCATGTGAGTTTAACGATGATGTTATAATGAACACTGGTTCCAATGTGGAAAGAGAGATAGATAGAAATTCATTAATTACAATTGATTTTTCCACTCTCATTTTACCACAAATTAACAATTATTGTTTGAATGGAATTTTCAACGATTCAAATGGTTTACTTACGTCTATCAAATGCATCCATATTATGGAAATTGTTGAAATTATCCAATCCGATTTTAATGTGATATGGTAAATGCAAGTTTGCTGCTATTGCTAACGGTAAACCATATTCGTTATCTGAAAAGTGGAAATCAACAATGCATTTAATGTTATTTTATCGTGAGTGTAAGCTGAAGCTTTTTATTGTATTATATTGTAAAACGAGTGAAAGTGTTATCTCTGAATATAAAAAGTCTCATGGCACAATGTCAAGTAATTTCACAATTTTCCAATGAACTAAACGGGTATGCATGTGCTGTAGCACGATGGTGTGTACGCGCACACATTTTCCTCTCAATTCTATTTATTCGTCCTCTTCCGTTTCACCCTCGGTATATCAGTGATTAATGTGCGATCTTGGAGAAAATCTTTTACGATGTTGGCATCGATGAATACACAAATTGCACCTGCCCTCGACCTTTTCCCATCAAATTCAACGGGGCTACACAGAAAATGATGAAAAGCATTTGATTAGAGCCTTTCTGTCACTCATGTGTGCAAGTGAGTATTTTCAAGCGGTTCGGTTGGTAAGATTGAGAGGGCACACCGAGTAGAGAGTAAAACTACAGAGCTTTACCGTTAGAATGCCATGATAAAAGCGGAAAATGCTCCATAATGAATCACTTGAACTTCACGAGAAACCACTTGAGAAATGAGCTTCTCTAGTGAGATTTACTACACTATACACAATTTGTAGATTGTAAGTTTCACACACAAGTAGGAATAAGATTTGATGATAAAGAGACGGGATGTTTCGCATGAAGAAAAGAATACTTTTCAATCTTTCCAGATTATTAAAGTCGAAAGTGATGCTATTTCAAGGAAAATTATTTGGTACTGCTGTTGTAAGCATAAAAATGTTAATTTCGTTGCTCACAATACTTTCGTCAGTTGAAAATTTATTTCTCCAGATTTTCTGCATTAGTTTCAACGCTCTTAATAATAAGCGCGTTTCATACGAGGAATCTTTGGACTGCTTTCATTTGTGAGCAACGGCTTACTGTGGAAAATCTTCGAAACGACGCAAAAATTATAATAAATGATGTGCTTATCTTTGGTTTTGCTTTCAAGTGCAAATCACAGTCAGCAAACAATGAGCAAAGATTGCAAGCAAGCGATTTTGAATGCATTGTTGGAAAAGGCTTGAATTTTACTCAAAGATAATGCACTCATTACAATTTGTGGTATTTTCATTGTAAAAAGTATCTTATCAATTAATAGAACCTGTTGGGAAAATCGTCAACTATTTTACAGTTGATTTAATGCTACTTACCCGCAAAAATAATCGCTTCACTCCAATTGAATTTCTGCGAAGCACTTTGGATTGCATACGCAATCGTTTGAAATGACGGCAGATAACGTTCAGATTTCTGTAACATGAAAGAAACATATTTTCCATGAAATTTGTTCGAATACCAAAAAATATATAATTTTAAATAACAAATTCCATGAAAATCCATAGTAAAATCCGTTCCAATCCGTTCCATGTGTCAGAAAAATATTCAGCATTTCACCAGTGCAATGCTAAAAATTAAATGTCATTTTAAATTGTTGACGCAGGACACATTTTTTTCTCACAAATTGGCGTTGTACACGCAGAAGAAAACGTAAGTCTTTGGTATTTGCAATTAAAGTTTAAAAAAAATCTATCGAAAAACAAGAATGACAGAGTGTTTACTCCAAATTGAGTTGTGTTATTTCCAAATTGAGTTGTGTGTGGAGCTTGTTTCTACTTTGAATTATGTTATACACTGAAGCACGAATGCAATTGCAGAATGAAGTAATCACTTTACATTGGAGTGTTCCATGGAATGCCTTATATTTCACAGAATAAACACACAAACGTAATTATTATTTATAAGCAAGTTTATGTTTACTTGAACGCGTACGCTGGCCAACTGCGAGCAGAAAATGGTTTACAACAATCACACCGCGCTAAGAATACAACATTTCTTTTTCATAAGGCTATAAGAACAGCAAGCATATTTTCCTTCTTTTTTCAATTTCTTTTCTGTATATTTTCTGTGATAGTATAAGTATGTCTGTGACTGTATGACACGTTTCTATGTTGTATGTTCAGTTGTTCCGTAGTTGTGTTTTTTTACTCTCATTGAGCTGATTACAATTATTTTTATTCCGGATTTGTAGATGGGAAAATTAGCTGGGGAAAAGAGAAGAAAGAGAAATTGCAGCACGTGATAGTGTTATGGGTATCTTGGGCGGACGCGCAATTTAAACGACAAGTACTAATAAAACAAGCGTCAACATCAAATCATCATCGCAATTTTTATATGTGCTTTGTACAACACAGTGAAAACTATGTGCTCATCCATAATTTGTTTGCATTCTCGTATCAGACTAACAGTCTCAATGGTATGTAGAGTTTGTATTTAAACCTTTGCCATCTTCGTCATAGTCGTGGGATCGCGTGTAGTTTACGATAGTACAAGCAATGCACTGTGATGTACATATTGTTTTGACGCTGGCTTCGACATTTTTATTGGTATATGTATGTGATTGTGCATCATTTAATAGCAAAAACTGCAACAGTCAACTGAGCGTATACTCTAGTGCCACATACCGCCGAGATCATATATATTAAAAAAGGAGCCGATGAGAAAAACCAAAAAGAAACGAGATGAGAGAATGAGCGAGAAAAGGGCTAAATGAAAAAACATAGAGAAAGAGAAAGAGAAAGGGTGAGAGGATTTCTGAAAAATAAACATCAACGTCAACTCCAGATTCGTATGGAAAAAGTTGCAGCCGACAGAGTATCAGAGCTAAATGTCATGGTATTACATCATTAGAAATATGTGCTGTCGGCGATTCGGTTTTGTCACATCACGTAGTGCAAGTGGTTTTATGAGCATATGGTCGCTGGTTGCCGAAGATCCTGGCATTGTGGGTTTTTGAATTTCCACTTTTTCTCACCACCTTTGTTCGTCTCTCCTTCGTTGATAATGATACTCTATGGAAATTTTTGGTGTGGATTTTCATCCATTTGACAATTTGAGCTGTTCAATTCTTCCGGCGATGGTGAGAAATTGAAATGTGAGCTGGACAAAAGTAAAATTAATGAAACCATAGTGAAACCACTCTGAGTTGCAAAATCGCATATATCTCTATCTATTTTATCTTACTGGATTTTCTCAACTTGAGAAACTTTTCCGAAGAGTAGCGTTTTTTGTTGCATGATTGCTTTTCTTCTTTGTCTACTGTATATGAGTCGCCTTCGGTAAATATATATTATAAAACGTGTTTAAACCCAGCACAAATGCTTCATATGTATATATTTTGTGCAAACTCATAGATGCCCCATTCTTCTAAGCAACGTCTCGTACGATCGTCGTTAATGTGACCTATTTTGAATGCATGACTCTCAGGCATTCGAATCGATGTCGCTAAGAGCGTTACATTCATGCTGATGCATGCCTAGTTTGTAATGCTAACAAAAACAACACGAATTGAAAATAAAATTCAAACAAACAAGAGTAAAAAGCACACAACAACAGCAATATAGCCAAGCACTGCCAAGATATAACCATATTGAGTGTTGAGCGCATTGCTTTTCTCCATTCAACAATGCACAATTTTCTATGAGTTGGGTTTTTCACACCACACATCTACAACGATTGTTGTTTATCCCATTAAAAGCGTTCCATCCGCATTCGGTTGCATTGCATCTTTCAGGCTTTTGTTGCATTACAGTTATTTGAAATACTAACCATGAACTCCGTTGCAATCACATTCGGCATTTCGTTTGGTAGTACGGTTACAAAAGAAGTTGACAAATTGAATACGAGCTAATCATTTAAACGATCGCAGCCACATTTATTTCGAGTTTTTTTAGGTCACATTAACAAAACATGGACAGATTTGAAAGTGATTTCTCATATTTTCACATAAATTTGATTGTAAACATCTTTAATCAAGTATCTGGTATAACATGAACCCTGTCACATATTTTCCATAAATATATTCCGAATTTTGTATTGTTTGGCAAGATAAGTGAATGTGTATGTTTTTTTGAAAATGTGCCCCTTATCAAAACTGACAGACTCGAAAAATTCAAAGGCCAACGTTCAAGGGAACACAAGTCAAGGTGTATGAAATGGTCTTAAGTCTCATTCGTTCTCATTGTCATTTTGAATATTTTATTTTAGCATTTTATAATGTATCCGATTTCAGCTGTATTGACAGCATTTCAAGTGGAAAAGAGTTGCTCTCCGTGTCAAATGTCTTATGCACCTTTCAAAAAAAAAGCAGCGCTACCAGCATCACCAGCAACTTTGTAACGTAAATGTGAAAATGGAACTTGAAAATGAACAAGTTGTCGCAAAACTTAAATCGCAACGCAAGGTTTAGTATATTTAAATGGCCGTCGAAATCACGTTGTAAAACCTTTATAAGTGTACACATATATTTAATTCAGCAGAAATATATAATGCACGTCTTTCTATATCACACATTTTTTTAGCTTGCTAAACGAGAATAACAATCCATTTCATTCTATAAAGTAACAAGTACGATGAGGAAAACTGCGTGATTTTATTTAAAAAAAAAATATAAACTTAAACTAACTGCATTTTGTGACGATGTTATGCGAAGCGACGAATGAATGAATAAGGTTAGATGTGTCGCAACAACAACGCACAAATTGGCAGCCAAAAATAAGGTATTCTATAACAAGAAGAGTAAATAACAAGTTAGACGATGCTGTGTGTATATTTAAATCACTAGTTTTTCTTCTCTCGCTCTCCACCAAAGCAAGAATAGGTAAAGAGATAGCGACATACTTTATTGCCGCTGCTATGCATCATGAATTTGGGAACGATGTTGTGACTACAAGTAGATCTTCGATGTAACTGGCATTTTGCGTCGCATACCATTGCCAATGGAAGGTATGTGGCAAAAAGGATTTTGTGTATGCGCTTGCAATGGCCCATAAACATTGTCATTTTTTTACACATGAATTCCATTGTATACATCACACAGACGAAGAATGTTAAACGAGGTAAAATAAAATAGAGCGCGAGCGCACAAGGGAAATTTTGATGAAAAAAGCACTAGTGCTTCCTATGATATCAATGTGGCATTGAAACACGCTAAAACTTTGGCTCTTTTTAACTTTAAGTAGAAATTGTATATTTTTGCAGAAAACTTTTCAATAAATGTCCAAGCGAAAGAGATGATGAACGAAAGTAAAAGTTTTTCACTGAAGGAATCTCATAAAATTAACAAGAAAAACAGCGAAGAAAAGAAAGAAATGAGAGAGAGGAGGATGGGGGGAGATAGAAAATTACAGTGGCAAAATGAAATGAATGGGTCGCACGGCAACGAACAGTCGGAAACTTATTACAATTTTCATTGTTCAATTGATAGTAAATGGCTGCAAACGTATAATGAAACGGAAAGACGGAAATCTTTTTACATTTTTCACACTTTTTCTTTACATTGAACGAATGCATCAATGCGAAACGCTGAAGAAAAACGAACGTGTACGCTCAATAAAATCCATGAGCATCCTGGCATTAAACATTCAATGTAAATGCAATGAGCAAAACGAAGACATAAAAACGCAATCATTCGGAACGATTTTTATAAATTGATTATATATATAATCAATATATATATATATCAATTGAAACGAGTAAAGAGGTAAAGTTGAAACCGAAGGCACAAAAAATGTATTGTTTCAAAGTGTTGAATTTAATGGGTGGGCTTGCATAAAATTACATTCATTTATTTTGGAAATCACGTAGGCTGCTTTCGCTTTTTTGTACATCGAAAACAGTATAATTTGATAAATATCATAAAATGTGATATATAAGCTTATTGTGAAAGTGAATATCATTGCATATGTAGTGCCATTGTCATTTATTGGAATACTCTATTATCTTGCTTCACTTCAAGTGTGGTTGGCACACCGTTCAATTTGCACCGCATCAACAGTTCTGTTTATTTAGCTCACGTTTCAAAACAATTCGTTTATGGGAATTTTATTGAATTTACGATTGAATATGTGCTTTTTTTTGCTTCCATCAGTCGCTCTGTATATCATATTTATTGCGAAAAAACTGTGATGCGTGGATTTCAAATTGGTTACGTGTTCCGTGTTTCATTACAATGTTTCATAGCATGATATCAGTTGAGAGTAAAATAATATCACAAATTCATCCTACATACACAAATATACGAGTAAATATTGATCAGTTGCGTTCTGTACTGGGATACGATTCTCCAGCCGAAGGCAAGAGAAAGTCTTTTTTTCTTGCACAGCACAATTTGTATTGTGTATTCGTCTCAAACTCTTTGCATTGTGTGCAACGAGTGAAAAACAAACGTAGCGTTAACAACAGCGATGTTATGA